GCTTTAGGGAAGAATGAGAACCGAAGAGGTGATTTTTCGCAGAACGACCTATTTAGTTCAGCACTCTGGCATCCACTGTGGCTGACATGAATGCCTCTAGAGGAGTAATAGTAATAACCATAATAACCGTAATAATAGTAATCCTGCAAATAGAAGTAGAACGACTGTGGCAAAGGAAAGCAAAGACAGTACCAATAGTAATAGGCACCTTGGGTGCAATCCCTAAACATCTGGAGCACCATTGAAGACCATCAGCATTGACAAAATCACCATCAGTCAATTGCAAAAGGCAGCTTTACTTGAAACAGCTTATATCCTGTGACGATACCTTTAACAGCATCAAACAACAACATCTGCCTTTCCCAGGTCCTTGGGAAGGACTTGATAGATGAACAAAAATGCCACATCCAGCCTAAACATCTGGCTGACTGTGTGACCAATCATAATAATTGCCTTCAAGTCAGTTTTTGACTCCTGGCGACTGCCTGGACAATCCCTGCAGTTTTCTTGGCAAGATTTTTGGAAGTGGGTAGTCATTGCCTCCTTCCTAGGGCTGAGTGGGAGGGACTGGCCCAAGATCACTTAGCTGGCTTTGTGCCTAAGGCTGGACTAGAACTCACAGTCTCCCAGTTTCTAGCCTGATGCCTTAACCACTACATCAAACTGTCTCTCCAAGTGTGGAATTAACTCTTCATGTAATTTAGAAATTTTATTTCTACTGATACAGCCTAAAATTGTGTTTGCATTTTTTCCAACTGTGTTTCATAACTGATATATATATTCAGCTTGTGATCAACTAGAATTCCTTTTTACAAGTACTAGCCAAACCAGCATCCCCCATCTAGGCCTATGAGTCTAACCTACCTAATTTTAACCTAACCAAGATTGTTTTGAGTTTTGCTTGAATTTTGCTGGCAGCCAGTAGGCTTCTGGGCCCAAATCAAAGCATCTATAAAGCCCAAGATGACATGGGACTGCCTTGCTGGGTATGAGTCCCACCATTCCACTTGGATCATTAAGGGAATTCAGGAAGTCAAGGAGTTGTGAGCTAGGAAGCAGGTCTTCTGAGAAGTAGCTGCCATGTTACAGGAATGCACTCCCTCTGGTTCCCTACTTGCATTCAAGAAGAATTTTACAACAGTCTTATTTCAGCAGGCCTATTTTTTTATTATTGCTTTTGTTGTTGTTTTTATTTTACTGATATATTGTTATCAATTAATTTTGAGACATTCTATATTGATTTCCTTATGTGTAGTCAGCCAGTCTAAAAAAGCTGTAAGTAATAAGTAAATAAATTACTGTTCAACCCATGTTTATCTAATCAGAAGGGCATGAAGTACTTTGTAAAATTTTTGCTGAGATCAAGATACATTATGTCCACAGTATTCCTACAATCTACTAAGAAAGTTACCCAAACCTAACATTCATTGTTTACAAATGCTGACTTCTTGTAATCATCACATTGTTTTAAGATGCCTGCAGAGGCAATGTTTTGATTTGCTCTGGAGTCCTTCCAGATATTGATATCAGACTGTTTGCAGTTCCCTTTTTAAAAAGACTGGAATATCGTTTACCTTTCTTCAGTCATCTGGTACTTTATAGCTTTCATCCAGAATTTCTCAAGGATGTTACATAAACATTTGGCCAGACTATCAGCAAGTTGCTTCAATACCATAAAATAATGAAGAGAGATTCAACTTGCCCCAGCTTGTCTGGAAAACCAGATACCGAACGCGATGATAGTTTTAAATTAACTAACTGAAAAAATGTTATAAGAGCTGCAGCATCAAGATAAACTAAACAGCCTGCATACTACCTGAAACCCGAATCTTTGGATCTATTAGTCTTGCTTACAATCATGACAGCGCTGCTGAGCAGCAGTTCTGGAAGACCCCAGAAGACTGCATTGGACCGAAGTGAGATTTGCTCTGCATGCTTTTTGGGTATACCATTGTCTGGACTAGCCTGCACAAGTGTTGGTAGAAAAAGTCATGGAATGGTTGTTCATAGTTATAGAGCTGGTAGGGTTCTGCTTGGCAGGTTCAGGCAAGATGGGCATGGATGCCTCCTCTTTCACACCCAGTGACAGGCTGAAAGGATCCCCCACAGGCAGCACTCACCTTCATTGCTCTGGCCAGGCAGCCCTCAGGGATCACATGTCATGAGAGCTATTTTTATTTCTGTTCTTAACTCCTATGCCTGAGGAACAATATGTGGATCTGGAAGCCAAGTTTCCTTGGGCTTATCTGATTGAATCATGGCAGTTCCGTTATTTTTTCTTCCATCTACGCGAAGCCCAATCCCAATGAGTGCAATACTGTCTTGCTATCAAGTAAGAACGCATGGTGCTGCAGCCACAAACTTACTTTTTAAAAAAGGCATGAGCAGCAGAAGATTTCTCCATGCAAAGCAAACCGAAGTCATCCTCCTTTCAGGATCAGTGGTCGTGCCTCTTCAGGCCTGGGCTGGCTGCTGGCCAAGCCTTCGTCCGATCTGCCTCTCAGCTGTCCTGCCTCTGGTTTGAAGCTATCCTTGAGCTTCATTAAATCTTATACTCATTTATTATAAAATTCCTCTGGTTGCTGTCTTCCTAGACTTAACATAGGATGAGATGTATACCTAAGTCAGATTTCACCAGGCCCCCACAAAAACCAGGGGGAAGACATGCTCCAGCTGTTTTTGTTAATCCTTCCCAGAGGCCTTTCTGCTGCTAAATTAGCTGCTACTTCAGGTATAACACAATTACATGTAATCCGGAGCGGCACGTGCAGGCAAGTTCCGGCTCGTGGACACCAGGTTTCCATCCAAGTGAGGTGCCTGCTGAGAAAACTAGCCAAAACCTCTCTGCTGCTGTGCAGTCTGGCACGAAACGGCTACCCTCGCCTGGCCTTCCTGCAAGTCCCTGGAGGACCTCCCCTTGCCTTGAGCTTTTCCAGGGAAGGAGAGCCAGAACTTGCTCACAGCTGTGTGCTGCAGAGCAACAGCTGCTCTCTGCCCATCTCTGTCAAGACCTTCAAAAGCAGCCTGGCCCAAGGGGGTGAAAATCTCTTCAGGGTGTCAGCTCTTCAAGATAGACCAGACTAGGAAACCAATGCCATGTAGGTATTGGTAAAGTTAATATTGTAAAGCTATTGTAAAACTATTGTAACAGAATCTTGCAAGTCTCAATGTGCTTTGTCCTTCCCTCCCTTTATCTCTGGGTGAACCAGGGAGGGGCTTGCTCTGAGATGTTTCCTCACATTACATTCTTGCCCAGGGCTCAGAGCCCTTTTATCTGGCCATTGCCTTGGTAGCAGCTCTTCCTCCTGTCCTTCCAGGCCATTCCCTCTCCCTGTACACAGGGGAGCAGCAGTGGATCAGAAAGTCAATTGGACACTCCGTGGATATGATGTAGGATAGCCGCTTTCCGACCCACTGCTGCTCCCCTGTGTACAGGGCAGAGGGAACAGCCTGGAAGGCCAGAGACTATCCTACATCATGTCCACAGGGCAAGTACTCTGTGGTGGTACCTACTCTGGGGAACCGCATCCTCCAGAAATTCAGATGGCCCCAACCCTCTTAGCCTTTTGCAAGGCATTAAAGACCTGGATGTTCCCCCAGCCGTTTGGGCCAGAAGATTAAGTGAGTTCTGCCAATTAATGTTGTTTTGTTTTAAGTTGGAATTGTGGTTTGTGACCTTGGGCATTATGATTTGGATTGTTTAACATAACTTTGTAGGCCACTCAGAGTCTCTGCCATGAGATAGGCAGCCATCTAAATCTCATAAATAAATACAAACTTATTGGATTTTGGATGGATGGCGAAGCTTAAAATTGTTATGGGCCATGTCATATGTGTGTTTATGTGTGTGCATAGAAATAGAAAGACAAGCTTACCTTTCTTCTTTTTAGAAGGGCTTGTGCCTACAAAAGAAAAATACATATATATTTCTGTTGTCTGAAACTATGTCCCATATCCACTAACATTTGATGAATGAAGAATAAAAATCCAACATCCCATCCCTGCAAAGCATATTCAATATAGAAACATGAAGAACTAAAAAGCCTAGTTTTATAATTATAAATTACATTTATAATTATATTCTGGCGTTCAGTGCAAAGGCTGCTGATAAAAAACTTGATGGATCTCTTAGTATCTCAAGTGCACACATTTCAAATTGAGTTCCCAATAGAACAGCCTATCATTCTGTCAGGTTGCTTCAAGCGGATGCTCTTCCAAAAAAGTGGATTGCAGTTGAGTTCATTTTACTTTCATAAAAACCTAGGGTTGGAAGAGACATTGGAGGTCTTCTAGTCCAATCCCCTGCCCAGAGCAGGAATCTTCAGCCCCTCCATACAAATGGCTCTCCAACCTTTGCTAGAAAACCTTCAGTGATGGAGCCCCCATGACTCCAGGAGGCAGGCTGGTCCTCTGCTTCAGAGCATTCATCATCAGCTCGACACAGTTTTGTTTTGTTTTTACAGGTTCACTAATGAACCAGTGAAAGTCTCCCCCTTTTACCTTGACATACTCCCAACCATTTTCCACTCTACTAGGTCCTCCCTCCTCATTCTACTATCATGATGCTTCCTATTGAAGGAAAGCCAAAATTGGATCTTGTAATACTAATGGATTGAAGAGAGGGATAGAAAGAAGTGGGAAAAAGGTTTGGTTCTCTGCAAGACGATTCACAGTTACATTAAATCAAAGTTAACATGATTGATGGCTTTGTATTATGTGCAAGCAGAGGCACTATCTTCATGCCTAAGTTCTAAAAGGAACAAACTAACAATGGAATTAAACTAAGTGCAAATGTATTAGAATGAAAAAAGAAAGGCTTTAGGAAGACAAGACTAGAAAGTTGGAAGAAGGGCTAGAAGGATAAGAGACAGGAAGCACATGAGACAAGAGGGCACAGGCTTTCCTCTCTCCCTAGTCCAGATCCTTCTGGCCCTCTCTGGCAGGCGGGGCCCCTCCCCTCATGGCCCCTTTGCTCTGGGACATTCACAGCCTGATCGGTCCGCCTAGAGCTACCACACCTTTTTGGGCGGATTATGTAAATGCCACAAATGAAAAAAGACATACTTGGTTTAAGATCTGTTTCCACCACCACCCTTGCTTTTGAATCTGCAGAACCCTGAGGGCAGAACCCCCTGCGTGTGTGTGTGCACACATGGGTGCGCACATGTGTAAAATCAACTGCCACTTAGTGCTGCATCCAGGAGAGACTCCGCCGTGGCATGCATCAGAGAGAAGCTCCATCCTGGGTGCCCCTTGTGAAGAACAATCAAAGAGACTGTCTTTCAACCATCAAAGCTCAAGGCAGCTTCAGCTTTCCAGCCACATGCCTGCAAAGAGGCAGAAGCTGCATCCATCTTGGATCCAGCCCCGTGAACCTCTGTCAGCAGGCCAGCCAATCCTCTTCCTAGATCTGTTGCTGTGGCCAAGGAGGACCCAACCAAAGCCAGGTGCTGGAGAAGAGGCACCGGGGAGGGATCACGCCTGAGGAACTGCAACAACTGTGGTCTGCTCCAGGACCAGCTGTACAACTGCCCACATCAAGGTAGGTCATACTGCAAAGCCTTCTTTGTGGATGCCCAATTGAACATGGAGCAAAATCTTCTAATCTATGATCCTGGGAAACAGCATGTAACAAGCTATTTTGAGCAGTGAGTGCCCATCTTTAAAGACCTATGAAATGCTTCCTTCAACATCAGTGGTTCCCACATTGCCAGGAATGTATAAATGCTTTGCAGCCAAGGATGTTTGCAACCAAATTAATATGGGAGTGGATGGGAGGAATGCTATCTACAAGAATCGAACCAGACAGTTTTGAACATTGCTACACAGGAGTTATTCAGAAAGTGATACTTTATTTCCATGCTTTTCTCCCCCATTCCAAGGACCGGATTCCCCTCTATACACAATAGGACATCTCTGTCCCTCTAGGTTCCCATACAATGATCTGCAATGTGGACTGTTACAGGGTTCACAGATACTGTTTGGCTGTAATGTGGTTTGTTTGGGGTTGCCAGAGTGTGATGTCACAAAGAAGGGAACAAACCACATTGTGGCTTACTGTGATATATGAACCTAGCTGTTGGGGTTTATAATTGTGCTTTATAGCTTAGGGTTATATGTGAAACCAAACTGACTAGTTTTATTCAACTGTTAAAAACAGACCATGGCATACTACAATGCGTAAACCAAGCCTGTGTTTAGAAATCACACGGAGAATCCCTTCCTCTAGTTATATGAGCTTTTGCACCCAGCTTACTCTCCCTTAAGCTATCACTCACGTTCCTCAGCCAAGACCATCTGTGAGTCATTTAAATGCCTGGAGACTCCAGGTAGATGAAAATGCATATCTGCATGAAATGTTCACACCCCACTTTGCTTTCTTGGCTGCCTGAAGCCCCTGAACCTCTTGGGGTGGCCCAGAGACCATGTGCTAACTGTGCACCCACATTTCATTTCATGCCATTTTGAGACCGGAAACAGGCAGGTACTTACGAGCAATTTTTAAAAGAAGAAGAAGAAAGCCTCCTGGGAAAAACAATGCCCCCAAACCAATCAGCAAGGCTTCTGGCCGCCAGATTGCTCCTCTCTGGCACCAGGACAAGACCGCATTTGTTCGGCCCCAGTAGCACTGTAAGTAGTTGAGCTGAAAGGGATCCAGCGTTACTAGTGGACAGGTAAAGAGAGCAGAGATGCAACGGCACATTCAGAGCCTGTCTTTCCCCCAAGAAGCTCACAGGGTTAAAAAATGGTTTCCTCTGACATCTTGTAATACAGGTAGTCCTTGCTTAATGACTGTTCATTTAGTGGCTGTTTGAAGTTACCATAGTGCTAAAAAAAAAAGTGACTTATGACTGGTGCCCGAAGATATGACCATCACAGCACCCACGTGGCCATGTGATCACGATCCGGGCGCTTGGCAACCAGCTTGCACTTACAATGGCTGCAGCATCCTGGGTTCATGTGATCGCCATTTGTGGCCTTCCCAGTTGGCTTCCAGCAAGCAAAATCAATGGAGTGATTCACTTAATGACCATGTGATTCACTTAACCCGAGTGATCCGCTTAACAATTGCCACAAAAAAGGTCGTAAAATCAGGTTCATCACATGATGATTCATTTAATGACTGCATCGCTTAGTGACCTAAATTCTGGTCCCAATTGTGGTCATTAAGTGAGGACTACCTGTCATTCACTAAGCTGGCTGAAGGATCATGACCAGCAAGAGTTTTCTAGAGAAAGGAGAGATTTCTATATGAATGTCACACCTTTCTACTAGCTAAATCCAGCTACAGAAGCAGCTAAAAATAAATGCAGTTTTTTAAACTGGAACATGGAAGAGAACGGCGGGCTCCCTCCTAAAACTTTACATAGGCTGAGGCACATCTGTCCATTCAGACCTGCAGGTATGAGAAAGAGAGAGGAACCCCCACATCCCTGCCCTGCTACATCTCAAGAACAGCCAAGGTTCAGGCAGCCTGAGGACTGATTGAGACGCCTCACTACTTAGGGCTTTCCATCTTACATCTGGAGTTGCTCCAGGCAGTGTGGGGTGCCTGAAAGCTCCCTGCACAGAATGTAACATGCTACTTTCTGTGCAGGCAGGAACGTTACCGGCCTTGTTGCAGGGATGCAGTAAAAGGCTTGCTAAGGGGACACTGGTTTGAAAGCAACATATTTTCTTCCCATCTCCAGGATAGGAGAAAAGCACATGCATGAGGAAGTTTGGATTACTCCTCCTTGTACTACCAAACTGATGCGATGTTGGCTTGCTAATATGTTGGCTTGCAAAACAGCATCTAAATTAGAACTCCTAGCTTGCATATAATAGTGTGAATATATTTATTTATTTAATTAATATGGCTGCCCATCTCAAATACATGATTCTGGGCAGCTAACAAACACAAAATAAAAACAGTAAACTAAAACTGTCATGTGAGATAAAGATGCATAGGTGCACTCCTTGTATCTGAGGTAGTGAGCTGCAGTTCAGGAAAACTTATCTCCTAATTAAATTTGTTAATTGGAAAAGGCGCTACCAGACTTCTTCTGATTTTTTACAAAGCTGGGGGTAATTGTCAACACCTCAGAAGACAGGCTCAAGTTTCAAAAGGATCTTGATAGACTTGAACACTGGGCCCTTTCCAACAAAATGCTGTTCAATGGGGAGAAATGGGTTGTGCACTTAGGTAGGAAAAACCAGATGCATAGGTACCATATGGGGGTACCTGGATCAGCAGTAGCACTTGCAAGGAGGATTGAGCATGAGCCAACTGTGCTGCATCTGCCAAAAGAGCCAGTGCAATCTTGGATTGCATCAACAGAGGTACTGTGCTGAGATCACAGGAAGTGATAGTTCTCCTCTATGCTGTACTATTGGACCACACCTGGAATACTGTGTTCAGTTCTGGTGTCACAATACAAGAAGGATGCTGATGAACTGGAAAGAGTGCAGAGATATGTGATAAAGATGTTGATGGACTTGAAGGCTGAATCCTTTGAAGAATGGTTATAAGAACTGGGTATGCTTAATCTAAGGGAGAGATGATAGCAGTCTTCTTGATGGGCTATTACAGGACAGAGGGTCTGGATTTATTCTCCCTAGCACCTGAGGATAAGACAAGAACCAATTGGTTGGAAGTTTTACAGAGGGAGATCCAAACTCAAAAGAAGGAAGAATTTCCATATTGTGAAGAGCTCTTAAGCAGCAGAACATCCTGGGTCCTGGAATTAGGGTTGGGGCTCAATTGCTGGAGGTTTTCAAGCAAAGCTGGGCAGCCAGTTGTCTGGGATCTATGAAGATTCCTGCCCTGGGCAAGGGGTTACACTGTTAAGACCTCCAAGGTCCCTTCCAACCCTAGGGTTCTACATTACAAGGGAATGTTGAATGTGGCATGGGTACAAAT